TTAAGTGAATCACTGCAGTTGTTAAATTAGTAACTTGATTGTTAAGTGAATCTGGCTTCCCCCATTGACTTTGTTTGTCAGAAGGTCACAAAAGATGATGACATGACCCCGGGACACTATAACCATCAAAAATATGATTCAGGTGCTAAGCATTGGAATTTTGATTACACTCTGTAATATGAAAAGCCGTGTAACAATCCCTAAAAAGGAGGTACAAATTTGTCCATCTTTTTATTTTACCAGAAAACGTGCAGCTGCATAAAAAAAATGCAGATATTTGTCACAGGGCTACTGAATTGGGATAAATTAGGCAATATGCATTCCATAATGTGGCAGAGTATAATATGTAATGGACCACAATTTGTTGAGAAAAATATTTTTTGAAAGCCTAACATTTCTTCCTCAGTTCCTGGCATCTTGATGTGGACCTAGGAAATATTCATTTCTGAAACCCTAGAGAGATATTGCCAATCAGGATAGATGGTATCAAATTAATGGATCAATATGTTAAACTCTGATAAGGTAATTTTTGTGTTTCCTAAAATAGTTAAATTATGATCTGTAGCCATTTTATTGCTGAAGGCATAATGCAGTTCATAAATCTAACTCAGTCTAGGAATTAATACAGAAGTAAATCACATTAAAATGATGGCCAGATGTCAAGATTTATGCTGGATAGTCTGGGTAGTTTTGCTCTGTTCACCTCTACCCTCTGTCATACCCACCTTTATTAATAGTTTTGTGTAGTGCAGGGTTCCCGAACTGGGGGCCCATGGGCCAGATGCGTCACACATAGAACACACCCACCCCAGTTCCGGGAAGGGGAAAAATGTTGTGATATGTCACGATGGCAATGTGATGCTGTGAGTTTGACACCCGTGGTCTAGTGCAATCTTCCCTCTGTCAGACCTAGACTGCAAAAATATTATTGGCTGATACAGATAGTCCCTGACTTAACGACCACAGTTGAGCCCTAAATTTTGGTTGCTAAGTGAAACACTTGTTAAGTGAATTTTGCTTCATTTTATGACTTTTCTTGCCAGAGTTGTTAAGTGAATTACTGCAGTTGTTAAGTTAGTAACATGGTTGTTAAGTGAATCTGTCTTCCCCATTGACTTTGCTTGTCAGAAGTTTGCAAAAGATGATCCCAAGACTCCTGGACATTGCAGCCATCATAAATATGAGCCATTTGCCAAGAGTCTGAATTTTGATCACATGACCATGGGAGGCATCAATGGTTGTAAGCATGAAAAACAGTCATAAGTGACTTTTTTCAATGCTGTTGTAACTTCTAACAATCACTAAATGAACCGTTGTAAGTTGAGGACTATTACCTATATATTAGCTTCAAAAATTAAACATTTTTTTTTGCTGCCATTTTCAGTCGTCCATATTTTAATAATCCAAACTCCGTAGCTGTCCTATCTTGACAGCCAGTTGGATGAAATTGGGGGACAGTAAGGTTACAGCGAGGCTCATTCAAATACCATGTGTTTTTATGTATTTGAAAGAAAGGGGGAGGGGGAAGAGAAAACAAAGAAAAACTCTTTATGCATGTGAAAGAAAGGTGTACGAGGATGGACAGGCTGTATAATTGAAGGATTTCTTTAATCTGGAGGTGCATTTAGTTGTAAAAACAATCATAAATCATCATAGTTCTAATTTGTCATGTCTTCCTTTCTTAGATTACCTTACTGGCCATTTGGTTAATAGAAAATAATCTTCTCAGTGATGCTCCAACAGTTGATGTTTGCAATAAGGAAGTAATGATAATCCAGTGAAACAGTTGAAGAAATCCCAATAGGCAATGGTCTAACTCTCACTAGTATACCAGTTGTTATTTTATTCACATTTTTTTCTCCAATGAATGCTCATTATTTATCGGTTACATTCTAATATCATCTGTACTTATGTGTATCATTAGGAAGAAATTGGAACAGGCTCCTACTTGGCCTAGGCTACTGGCCAACTGCATCCCCAATCCTCTTATCATCTTCCCTTTCTTATTTTGGGATCTACTTTAGCAACACTTAACACTGTCCTTGGCTTTTCCCCATTGTTAACACTCCAAAATATTTTTGCTAAAAACAATGTTTCACTCTGTATCTGCAACAAAGCATCTTCATTTAAATTTATATGCAGACCTACAGTATGTACCAGTTTGTGTGCAGAGAAGGCAAAGCCAATGTTCTTTGTGCAGAACAGATCACATATGGAACCGTTGTAATACTGCTACTGCTAACATATAAACATGTGTTCCATATTTGTGTACTTTTAGAAGAAAAATAAGAGGCGACACTAAGCAAAAGACTGGTTTCAGAGGGTAGGACTCAAATGCACAAAAATAGAAGAAAAACAAATTCTAATATTGATTAGGGGAAATGGGGTAGGAGAGGAAAAATTGTTCTTATTCTATACCTGGATGGTGTTCCATTGAAAATATGGTTAAGAATTTGAAGTAATCAGGTATACATTTCATTCAAGTGAGTAACTGTCTGCCTGTATATCTGTTATTTATTTATTTCTGTCATCTCTCTCTCTCCCTCCCTCTCTCCCTCCCTCTCCAATTGGCTTCTATGAGAGCAACAATGAAGTAGGAAAAAACTCTGTGAAGATCAAGTATATACATAGCATGGACAGCTGTCATGGTAAGTTAAGGCAAGGGTTGAATCTACCACTACCATGAGAACTCCAAACCCTGTGAGTTGATTGAGAATATGGAACTTAGGTATATTCAAATATGATATGTACACCTGGGCATATAGCTTCACTTGTTGAAATGCTAAACATTTTTTCTCTTTGTAGAGTAGTATAAACTAAAAAGACCAAAATTTCAAATGAAGACTACTTTCCATTTTTGTCAGCTAGATCAATAGGAGGATGGAAATTCTTTACAAATTTCAAATGAAGACTACTTTCCATTTTTGTCAGCTAGATCAATAGGAGGATGGAAATTCTTTACAATTGTTTCCATAGTGATTTATCACTGCTACTGTCACAATTGACACCGGTAATCACAATGAACATCACCTCCAACGTAAGACTTCAGAAATGCCAATTTCACAGTCTGTGCACAATGACAACTACTTCTAGCTTAGTAGTATGAAATATCACTATAGTTTGTGTATGAGTTTTGGGAGTGGGAGGTTTAAAGAAAGATGTTAAGCTTATATATTAAAGATAACTCAAAACGATTTGGGGAGAGGTATATGGATTACTCTAGCAATTCCATAGCATAAAATCAAAACGCTCCTATTTTTTTCTTATTCGAAACAGAATGGTCCTTCAGAAAAAAAAAAAAAAAATGGAAATTTTCTACCTGATCTGATAGCATCACATTTTCCCTCTGTGCAATGGGAATGCATATATATATATAGAACAATGAAATATGTCACTTGAAAAATCATAGAAACCACAGAAAACAAAAAAAGTTAAGGGTATCAGACAAACAGGGAAATAAAGGATGGCAGTCAATATAAGGACAAACAAATGGCCTTAAGGCACATCATGAAAGTCTGATCAAAGAATTACAACTTTCCTTGTAGCAGAAAGAGATATACAGATGGTCACTGTACAAAGGATTATGGTCAGAGATGCAAAATAAAGTATACATTCCATGAATTAAACATGAGAGGAAAAAAAGGAATTCTCAAGATACAAATAACCCTTGTTTTGTGGAAGTTGGGCAATGCCAAAAAACTCTATAGAAAAGACATGGAGTTGAATGGCTAAGTGGATCATGAGAAATATTTTGTACAACAGATAGCATAATGAAAAATGCAATCATTCATACATTTTCCTATTAATAGTTTCTAAGAAAAGTGAAGGGTAAAATATCATAAGACATATTAAAATGGAATGAAGCTATGCAATAGCACTAGTGTGTATTTGTGACAATGCAGATATTGGCAGGAATCCATTCTATGCAGGGTGCTTATTTGATCAAATCCCACTTCCAATACATGAGTCTGTAGATTGGTATTCTGGGACTCCTTGAAAGCAAATTCTATAGAGAGAAATTATAGTTCAGTACCATAGCATACTTTATGGGGGGAAATATATAGTAGTTCCAGTTTTAAAGCAGTTTGATTAGAGTGGCTAGTGACAACCTTGGCCTGACTAATTGGCAATAAAAGCCGGAGCGTGGCTTCACACACATCACTGGTCAAGGCTGGAATAGAACTGGGGATCTTAAGTTCTGCAGTTACAGAAAAGTGGTGATTGAAATATTATAACTAAATAAAATAAAAAGGTGGAGTGTTAGTCAATATAAGGCAGACTTTTACATTCATATAATTTATCATGCTTAAGTTGTGTTTAATTTTTATTTTAGTGTTTTGTTATATTTCTCATATTGAAAGAGAGGTTCCATGTTTGTATGGCAGCTCTAAAGAGTTTTAGTTTATATTTCTGGGAATATGTGTGCATAACAAATCATTGGTAGAATTCATTGTGACTTCACATAATGTATAATTCTTAATATTCTTGCAGGTCTAAGCTTACTAAAATAATTTGGATTCTACACAAATGCAAAAATCATAGTTTTGCATAAAACCTTGAATAATATTTCACATTATGGTATCAATCTGGTTTGAACAATCAAAAGTGGAAATTAAATATAGATGAAATTCAGTTACTCCATCAATTCTAAGTATTAAATCTGACTAGAACAACTAATGTTTGTAGAGAATTCAAGAATAGTGGGTACACTTACTGCAGTTTATAGGATAAGTACAGATTTATAACCAATTGTGTAATTTCAAATGTAATTTCAACATATCTTTTTTACAATGCTCACAGTAGAGAATATCAGCTGTATTAACAGGACTTCTTTATCAAAATTATCTCAAAACAAGCCACCAACCACTGTACAATTACAAACCACTACCACATTTTAAATTCATACATGAATATGAGGAAGTTCAATTCCTTTGACAATCTATGGGCATGAGCCCACAAAATCCATAAATTGTGCAGTGTCAAAAATACAAGCAGTCCTTCCCAAAAGGGAAAAGAGAAGAAAACAACAAAGAAGTGGATTTGCGTTTGAATGATGGACAAAACTTGTTACACTTTCTATAAAATCCAGACATTCCAACAATGTAATACTTGAATATTGCCTCACCGAACTAGTAAAAACTAGATTGCTTTTATTTGTTTTGTGATTTCTCAGATTGCCAGTACCTGTAGCAAAAAGACTGGGGTGGGGGGGAGTCATTTCATGGCATGATTTCATTGGATTTAGGCAATGGTATATTCTGCTTCTGTTGATTTTCCTTATTGACTTGGTAGCTGTGAAATCCATATGCTAATGCTTCTAATGATCAACCATTCCTTTTGGCTTTTGGTAACAAGTATTCTCATGCAGTTAATATCAAAAAGAACTTTGTGCTCCACATCTGTGACCTCCAAATTTCCATTTTTAAATTCTCCTAGTCTCAAGAAGGTAGTACATTGCCTTTCCTTTTTGCCCCCAACAATTTTTTCTCCAACTTCCAGAGCACCATGATGCAAAACATCATTTTGTCGATCTTCAGTGCCAGTGACAACTTTGATTTTGCTAATTTTAAGAGGCCTATCAAAGACAATGACATAAAAATCTCCAGTTGCAGGTGCTTTTGCCCAGAAGTATTCATCCACACTACTATATGCCTTGCTCGCCTCATAATTCTCAAATACATTCATATTGGTATGCAAGTTGGCAGGCGGGTTATCTGGAAGGTCGAATGAATCTTCTTCAAAGTCATCATCTTTTAATTTATTTTCAGCTCCTTTGTAAGATGAGTAATATCCCATGTGCTGAAAAAGGGATGGTTTGAAACGTATGACATCCTTTTGAGCCAACAGCCCACGGAAATGTATCAGCAACCAATCACAAGGCATTTCCTGGTAGAACATCAATAAAAAATGAGCAAGACGAGGGAGATCATGGGAATGATACAATTTCCCAATGTAACCCAACTTGGAAAATTCTAAAGTTACCCAGTAGGTTCCCTCTCGTGAAGTTATGACTTTCTTAATAACAGTCAAGAAGTTTTTGGCACATCGAACATCATCTTCTAACATTACATAATAATCAGAAAGGTTAGCACAAAAGTTAAGCAAGAATGCATAATCAACATTTTGCTTGGAGCGAAATTTCACCCGGTCTTCTGGATCATTGTAATTTCTCTTAAGTCCATCCAAAATTGGATAATATTCCTCTGGCGTATGGATTACCATTAATCTGCCAGCAATTACATGATGGGCAAATTTCTGTGAAATATCTTGAACCATGCTATCACACCAGGTTGAGTCAGATTCTGCCAGATGTACAACCACAGCAATTTCTTTCAGTTCTTCATAACTTGACTGTTCAAATATGGACTTGATTGTCTCCAGCAAATAATTCCCTTTTTTCCGTTTGACTGAAGATAGTCCAATGGTAAGATATCCTGAATAATAACAAAAATAAAAAACAATATTTAAGCTCTATAGAACTGAGCAATAAAAGCAAATTTAGTTGTTATTCATAACAAATGATCTGGAAGATAAAAACACAACCAAGAAATATTTGTATATGTCCAGCAGAACGTTTCCCCTTTTGCCTTTGCTGCTTTTGAAACAATCCTTGCATATATTTCTTAGCAAACATTTTGCCTTGTCTCTCCATCCATCCGTCCATCTCCATATCTCAAAAAGAAAAGTCCTCTTACAGTTCAAGTAATAGACTATTAGACAGTACGTGCTAAAGTGAGTGAACTAAATTATGCTAAAATATCTTCCATTCAAAGTGATGGGATTGTAACTGTACTTAGGTCTATCTGGGTTCATGTAAGAATATATTTTGAATTGTCCTTTCAAAATTGCTTGGGTTACTTAATTTTGGCAATTTGAATTTAAAGCACCCAAACTGGCAGTTTTAGAAATATCATTATTAAAATACAGCATAGTTACACAAATTATATGTCTGTGTTACTTTGGAGATCTGTAGATGTTGGTAGTCTGAATTTATCAGGACAAATTTGATCCCAGATTTTTGCTAAGAGTTCTCTGCTTATGGTATATTATGAAATATTTTGCACTGCATCTAATAAATAACTTTACTGTATATGATATGAGCCCATCAACCTCAACTGTATGTTTGCATCATCACAGTTTTTTGAGAATGCCAAAACCTTAGAATGCCAACTGTTTTCTTTAATATGGTTATCAATCAATCTTTAGATAAACAGGAGATCTTGGTAGAAAACTGCATCTCTTATGTAATCCATAAATGAATATGATATAGTATTAAGTTGAACTATTTGTGGTGTTCCCAAACAGCTACATAATTTCACGAGCGGACAAAGATTGTTGAACTCTGAAACTGCAATGAAAGACTGAGCAGGAAAACGTCTTCATGGGAATGTGTTTTAACAATGAATTCTTTTCAAACAAGTGATTTGAAGAACCCAGAACTAACAACAGTTTTTGTAATCTTTTGTTCATGCCAGGAGAAAAGACATAAAAGAACTCAGCTGGCAATATCAATCATTTCCTGATATTCTTCTAATTTCCATCATTTTTCTTTCTTCCATTTTAACTAACCGTGACTCAGGAAAGAAATCCCTGAAAGAAAGATAAGGCTATGTCCAGGGGTAGGATTCTACCGGTTTGGGCAGGTTCAGTAGAACTGGTTGTTTTGATTCTGTGCAAATCATGCCTCTGATCGGCCTCTCCCCACCCCTCCCACTCATCCTTTTCATGGTGTCTGGTGAGCCTTCCTTTGCTCACTCGCCTAGCTGCCTCCCATACCATGCAGCCACTCTTCACCTGGCCTGAGAAGATAAAGCCAGGAGGGCACTGCGCTCAGCCAAAGGGGGTGCGAGAGGAAACAGCAAGGCTTGCTACCACCACCGTATTGTCTCCCTGAATGGCCTTCCCCTCCCGCTGTATTGCCCCCCCCAAACTGGCTTCCTTTCCCGCCATATTGCTTCCCTGAGCAGCCTTCCCCTTCCGCCATATTGCCTCCCTGAATGACCATCCCCTCCTGCCATATTACCTTCCCCTCCCACCAAATTGCCTCCCTGAATGGATTTCCCCTCCTGCCATATTGCCTCCCCAAATGGCCTTCCCATGCTGCTGTATTGCCTCCCCAAGCGGCCTTTCCCCTCCCACCATATTGCCTCCCCAAATGGCCTTCTCCTCCTACTGTATTGCCCCTCCCACCATATTGCCACCCTGAGTGGCCTTCCCCTCCTGCTGTATTGCCTCCCTGAACAGCCTTCCCCTCCCACTGGATTGCCTTCCCGGGCAGCCTTCCCATGCCACTCTTCTCACCCTTCCTCCTCCTTCCCCTTCCCCAGGGAAGGGAGAAGGCAAAAGCAAGGGATTTCTAGCCTCGAAGCTGGTTAGCTGTGAGCAGAGGGCAATCCCCTTCTCTTGGCAAAGCTGAAAAGGAATAGAGATGGGGAGGAAGCAGAAAGAGGCTTCACAAGCCAGCAGGAATAAAGGGGTCATTCTCAATGAGCTGGAGACACCTCTGGTTAAACACACCTCTCCAAGATTCAGTGGATACCCCACGTGCACGCACCCCAACTTGGCAATGCAGCCACGAGCAAAGCAGTCTGGGTTCAGAGTGACACTTCTCCCAAATAAGTTCTGGGGACCTGAGCCCAAACCTGCACAAACCCACTGTCCTTTCCACAGCCTAGAAAACTTCCATGCAAACCAGCACCACCTCACCCTCAGGAAGTGGTAGGGGAGAAAGAGAATGAATGGGAGAAAAGAAAAACTTGGGAGATGAGGAAAGGAGATCGAGAGGAACAGGAGAGGGGGTCTCTATACCCTCCTCCCAGGCTGGCCACAAATGTTGAAAAGCTTCTGATTGTGATCTCTCATTCTCTCATTCTTTTTCTCTCTCTCTCCTTCCATTCATCTTTTTCTTTTCTTTCCAACCACGGGAACCTCTCAGGCAGGCAGAAGGAGCATGAAACAAAAGAGACCCAAGAAATGAGGAAGGGGGAGGAGAATTGAGCAAACTCACCCCAAATGCCATGTCTGAACAACTTACTTAAGAGACAGGGTGGGAACCCAGGCATCTTGCTCCAGGACAATCAGGATGAGCAAGCAAGCAGCTATCTCTGCATCTGGCCAATGCATGTGTTGGAATTTGGGAAATTCCAACATGTGGCAGTGTAAACAAGCGTGAGAACTGTTTGGAACCGTGTGTGTGTGTGTGTGTGTGTGTGTGTGTGTGTGTGTTTCAAGTGGGTTTCCTACCTTTAGAAGGAGAGTGGGAAGGAGGAAGGGAAGGAGAAGGAGAGAGAGAAAAGAGAAAGAGAGATGGAAAGAGAGAGAAAGGGAAAGAGAGAAGGAAAGAGAGGGAAAGGGAGAGAGAAAGAAAAGAAAGAAAAGGGAAAGAAAGAAAAAGCAAGAAAAACAAAGGAAGAGAAAGGAAGAAAAGGGATAGACAAAGGAATAGGGAGGGATGGAAGGAAGGGATAACAAAAGAAAGAAAGGAAAGAAAGAGAGAGGGAGGAGAAAGTGAATGAGATAAATGGATGGATGGATGGATAGATACATAGAGAAAGGGAGGAAGGGAGAGAGAAAAAAAGGAGAGGAAGGAAGGACACAAACACTGGCTTCAGAAGACTTTTTGAAACAGCACAGCAATCTAGGGTTAAAAGGGATCTCGGAGGTCACCTTCTAGTCCAACCCCCTGCTCCAGCAGGAGACCCTTACCAAATCATAGAAGAGCAGGGTTAGAAGTGTGTGTGTGTGTGTGTGTGTGTGTGTGTGTATGTGTATGCATGGCGGTCAAAACTCCAGAAATAGGTCAAGTAGCTCTGGGGAGGTCAGTTGTAAATTAGAACACTTGCTAAACAACTGGTCAATAAGCAAGGATATTTGGTTTGGTCAGTCACATGGCCACCTAGCCATGGCCACCCATCACATGACCACCTAGCCACACCCAGCCAATCACATAACCACCAAACCACACCCAGTCAGCAAGCCATGCCCACCCAGTCACATGCCCACCAAGCCACGCCCAGTCAGCAAGCCATGCCCACCCAGTCACATGACCACCAAGCCACACCCACAAATTAGGCCACCCTCACAGAACCGCTTGTTAAGAAATTTGATCCCACCCCCGCTATGTCCATATATGGGGCAAGGTTGCCTAGCACAGATGGAAAAGATAGTCTCTCTCTCACTTTATCTCTTCCTCCGTCCCTCCCTCCCTCCCTCCCCCCCTCTCTCATTGTCCCCTTATCAATAAGGCTTTTTTGCCTAGAAAGCAACCTCTCTTTTTATTTTCAGATTCCAAGTTAAGCTGTGACTTTCAACATGCTCAAACGTTCCCTGCTTAGCTTCTAAGTATGTGTTCGTTGTGTTAATGTAATGCTACATCTTTAAAATCTTTACTTTTTTCTTTTTGCTGTAGCAAGAAATTTAACACTATATCTGTACATTTCTTTCTTTGCTATAACAATAAGCCTCGGGAATTTTCTCTTTCACTGCTGCAGCAAGAAAACACATCTTTTTATATATTTCTTTTCTTGCTTGCTTACTCAGTCTGTGGCTTAATTCTCTATATGTTCCATTAAAGAAGATCACTTCTCTAATTCCACTACTTCCTTTCTTTGAATTTGCATTCTCTTTTTCTCTCATTGAATGCAATGTAATTCCATTCCCCATAGATGGATAACAGCTCAAGTTCTCTGGGTTAGCATTTGGACTATAATTGTTTAAGAAAGCTGTCTGAAACGGTTAATAGTATCTATAGAATATCAAAGGATTATTTAATTGCATTATATGCCTTTTGGATCAAATATTTTTCAATATAATATACTCATGGATTATTTAATTAAAGTTTCATTTTAGACTTCCAGATTGCATAAACTCATGGATCCTAGAGGGAAATGGTGTGATGTGGTAGGTCCTCCTCCTCCTCCTATTTTTTTCTTGTTTTGCAATTTGGGCCAAAACATGATTTGTTTGCTTTAGAATTTTGTATGCATCTACTTATGATGATACTGAAACATAATTATGCCTTGGCACATTCTAGCAAGTTGGGATTGATTCAAATATTTTTGGTTAAAAAATGACTTATTGCAATTTGTAAACTTCCCTAATTTACCTGTATGATCAGGTAGTTCGTTGGAGCAAAATATGAGCAAAATTTGCTGTTATCTGCTTAGTGAGGAAATGAGATATTATAAATGTTTTCCAGATCTATGAAAAATGTCATAACTACTAAAAGTAAAGCTGCTCTATTTGTTTGATATCCCACTTTTGAAAGGGAAATGGTTGAGCTCTCTTATATCTAAACCTCAGCATCTAGCTCACCTTTTCTGAACCTAAAGGTTTAATCCTGGTTAGTTCTTGAATGAACCCAAGAAATAAACAGGCAGGAAAGTAAAAAACAACAACAACATCCTTTTGGAAGAAGAAATGACAAATTACTTCAATACAACTAACAAGCATGTCCAGGAGTCCCCCAGGAGTTGAGCTCATCTTGAGGATATGTTTACTTTTATAACATGTAAAGATAAAATTCTAGATGGATCAAAAGGGTGTTCCCCAGTTTAGTGAGATTACAGAACCCTATCTTCTTCTTCTGAGTTGCACATAAGCTTTTTATGTTCTGTGAAAAAGGAGCTTATTAATTTAATGGCAACTTAAAGCTTTTTTCATTGCCTCCTAAAAAGCTGATGAACTTACTTCTGCCACATTTTCTTTGTGACATTTAGAATAGATAAAAACACTATTTGTTGTTAAGAAAATGGAAAAATTCTGTTACTTACTTTTTCTTAGTAAAGGTGTGCCAGCCAGATAGCGATAGGAAACATTTATTGATCCTGAGAAGTTGGACAGATCTTTAAAACTGTGAACATACCGCTCGGAGTTTAATTGATGTGTTGCCGTATCTCTGATTAACTGCTTATCTCCATTCTAGAAGTTGGAAGAGAAAAGAAAGACAAAATAAAAGACACACAGCATAACTATTATAAGAAGTGGAAGGAAAAACTAGCAATATGTATAATAGCTTGTATTATTTATTTGCTTCAATCTTACTTTATATCCAGTCCAAGTATGGACAGGTTATACATATATATAATGTTTCCCATGTTCCAGCACTAAGACAGGTCATATCATGTTATGTCAGATATGTTCAGGCCTATATATAGGCTCTTATAGGTGGTTCTCAGGTATGGAACTACCAAATATCCCAAAGTTGAAAGCAAGCAGTGTTGAATACTCCAAAATGTAATGGGCTAGAACCCAATCTCTTTTGTTTGAGAAGAATGGTCTCTATTGTTTTGCTTTGGTAACAGACTGAAGTTTTCTGTTTGGAATTATACCAGTTTCTCACATTTATTAACTTTGATCTCTTTGAACCAATGTGACGTAACTCTCTCCTCAATAAGACCACCAAGACTGCCAGAACTCACAATTTACTTTATCTATCTAGGCATTAACTGGATATATCTCAACCTAGTAGCCTGGTGCTTTTTTCCAGCAGTTGCACCCAAAATTATAGGAAAGAGGTTAGTGAATGTTGCTTATATTAGTAGAGAAAAATTGAAAGTTTTAGTGGATTTATGAAAGTGACTAAGTTTGTATAACAAGGGAAAATCAGGGATTGTATAGGGATTGTAAAAGCAATAAGTTTCTTATTTCTAGGATTAAATTAGGCTAAAGGATAAAATCTTATCTGCTACAAAGCTCTGACTTCAGAAGATAGGCGAGATAAGGGCTCCTGTAAATGGAAAAATTGATTGGCTCCAAATCACATGAAACTCCAGCATTTTAGACTTGAAAATAAAAAGTTTAAAAATTCTTCTTATGACACAGCTGATACAGAAGAAAGTCCACTCAGTTGCCCAACATGCCATGCTAAAACAATATAAATATCTTCATGTGGAAGTCCCATGAGTTCACTCCAGTTTCATATGGTCATCTTTTATTCTTCAAGACCATCTCTAGAGTTAAAGATGATAGTTGATATTTCATTATTTAGTTAAATAATCATAAATAAAAATGTTATTTTTGTAATATGGTTATTGTTATTATTTTACTATATGTGGATATTTTGAATGTTAATATTTCATTTAACTAATTCAGATAGAACATTCAACGTACCCTTGGCTTTTTACTGTAGATTAATAAAAAGAGAACAACATGATATTTTTATTGTATAATCTCCTTACTCTTCCTCCTGGAAATAAGGCTAGAAACCAGGATCTCAGAGTTTCTTTGAAATAATCACTGAATGTGATTTTACTAATACAAAATTTGGCTGTCTGAACAATGCTTCCTTGTGATTCATATATCTTTTCTGCACAAGTGTCTTCTTTAATGCATCCCAAAGCTAGGCTTCCTCTACTGGATTTCTTTCTACTTCTCAGGGGATATTAATACAAAACTGCTTTATTGCATTGCATTGAAATAGAGATTTTGTCCCTTTTTCATGGCAGTTTAATGTGGCTGATGCTGGTAAGCAGCTTTAGTCATAGCACATGTCTAGAAGTATGGAAAAGAAATTTGAATAAATCTTGAAAATTCAAAGAAGTCAATTTTGAGAAGACTCAGTAGTAATCAATCTATTTCCAATTTCTGACAGCTGTGTGACTTCTCACCTCCTCCTCTGTTCCTTGGCTGCCTGTGCCAATTTGTTTTTTCTCCATACCTTTCTCAAGGAAAGACGACAAAGCAAACTGAACTTCTTAGTGGTCCTCTCCTTTCTCATCGAGTCACTCTGAAAAAGGTGACTTGAAATTCACCAAAGAAGGGGGTGAAGTAGAAGATTTGATTATGGAAGAAAGGAGGGTTACTATACATTTTCCAGCTATGTTCTCACACCAAGTGCCTATATTCACTTTTCCTTGACACTGCCTCTCTACTTATTTATAAACTGCTCATTCTCGGAAAGATTATAGGTTATATTAATTAAGACAAAACAATAGGACCAAATGTAATACACAATGAACCAAAGTGATATACTGCATATGTCTCACTGACAGAGAAGCAGTAAAGGGGCAAAGGCATGTTTAGAAAAAGGATCATATGCCCTAAGTGAGTGATTAAAACCAGGTCTTCATCTGGTACAAAAGGCAAATATTATTAACACTACTCTGGCCTCCAAAGGAAGATCATTCTAACTTGTGCTGTACTTTTATTATCACTGCCTCAATCACTTTCACATTTCATTCAGGGTCCTGAGGACTACACATCTAAGTACACCTGGAGAGTTTTAAAATGTTTGTTGTTTCCTATGCTTTTTGGATTTCAAATACAAAAGCTTTCAGGAAAAAAAAATGAAATTATTAATCTTCTTCATTAATCAGAAGACAAACAATATAATGGAGAAATCAGAAACACTGAGAGCTCTGCTCACGAAGAGGGAATAAAAGCAAAACAAAGAAACAAGCAAAGAAATCAAAAGCTTGATAAAGTTCAACATCCATACTGTATCTATTTACAAATGAAAATAAATCATGCATTATTTTAACCATGATTTGTTGAATAAGTTAAAACAAGGCAGATGAACAGGGTAATAATTTGGCCAATTCCTGATTGTTGTATATCCTTTCGAAGGCAATCTTACCTTGATCCTCTGTGGATTGGTTATAGGTTTGTTGCAGCACAAAACTAACTCATCAATAAGCTATGAATTCCTGTTCACCTGGTACACTGAACTAGAAATAGGAAAAACTCAGTTTACTGGGAGCTGTAACTGAGCCAACATCATATTTAGCTTAACTTTTTAGTAATGTTTTGCAGAAACAATGACAATGGTGTCATAATATCATTGATTCATAATGTCTCACAGCTGGATGTGATTGGTCTTGAAGAAACATTGCAGAGAAATATTTGGTAAAGGTAGGAGAGTTTCTTCTTTTACTAAAAAAAAGTCTGTAAAATGGATAGGAAACAATGTGTCTGTATTCTGATATTTGAATTTTGATGGGTTGGTAGCTTTATGGAAGCTACAAAAAGCTGATCTGATTAATCCTAAAGATACTTCGCTGGTATATGTGAATTCAGAATCAATCAAAAATTACTTATGAAATTGAGTTTTGAGATGATGAAAAACATCAAAGCAAAATAGACATTCTCAATTTCTATTTGCTTGTTGTCTGCTTATACTATAATTTGCCTTTCCACCTCTAAGTCAACAAAAACTTCATTTCATAATATATTAAAAGGCATCTGTCAAATGGGCCTTAAAATTTTCAAAAAAATAGACAAGCAAAGCTGAGACTTGACAATTAAATGTATCAGTTCTGTTTTGAAAGAAACAATGAGGAACAAACCTTTTTATTATTAAAAAAGACAAATTAAGTGTAAGACATCATGCCATCTGGGAAGTTCACATAAAGATCTGAAAACAAGCAAAACAGAAATAGCATAAACTGCAACAAATAGAAAGCAACAGGATGCACCTAGGGGATCTTGAGTAATTAGCAAACCAAAGTAGATATCAATGAATGTGACAAAAACATGGTGTAAACCAGATCAAATTTAATCACAAGTGAAGGGATGTGAATAAATAAAATCCTACAAAATATTTTAATGCAAACAGTGCCATTAGAAGAAGCCATATTTCAAAAGCCTAATGGACTAAAATGTGTAAACAGGGAGTTTTCTTACTTTTAAAAAGAAATGTGATTAAAACTAGAATATCCATTTACAAAAGCAAATTTTATGAGTGGTAAATGTATGTTAAATTGAACATGAATCATATAGTCAGTTGAAAAAGGTATTTTGATTAAGTGAAATGATCCTAAAAATCCAGATTCTCTAGAAGTCTCCCATGCAAGAAGCAATGACAGAAGACATTTTTGACTATATGGATATGAACATCAAATTATTACCCATCAATTCCATGTCTTTGGCTTGCAAAGAAATCTAGCCAGATGCTCTTGAGAAGAGTATGATGGTATAGACAAACTTTTGATGTAAGCCTGCAAGCAATTTATGTGTTCCTTGCCCTGATATTTCTTACTGAGGCTGAATTTTTTTTTTCTGAGAAAGGATATTTACAACATAATGTTGAATTATATTTCCATAGTGCTACAGCATCTGACCAATAGTAACTATCATTGTATTGGACATGGGTTCTTTGGGTGATACCAGACAACCCCTGACCTGCTGAGCCATTCTTTCAGAGATGCTTCCTTATTTAAAATGAGAAACTGAATGACTACAGGACAGAAAAAAAAGATAGTGGGAACAGGACTGTTTTCCGACTTCCTGCTGGCTTCCACATTGACATTTCTTCTAGGAAGCTGGAAGGGAACATTAGAAATCTTCCCTTTCCTTCCCAGCAGACAGATAAGTGACTGCTGCTGGGTATGGGAAGGGGCATCGGATTGTAACAGTGGCTGGAAACTGTTGAGCATCATATCAGCAACCCCAAAGCAGACACAACTTCCCCAAATTTCATTCCTTTGGGTCCTGGATTTTGGATGCATATCTAAGTTAGCTTATTTTCAGATACCTTGGTTCAAAAATTGTTGCCCTGTGGTGCATTGTTTCAGGCAGTTCAAGTTACAGGAATGAAGGGTTTTAGCAATATATAGATTTGCTGTTCCCTGTCTACTCAACAAATCATGCAGGGATGAGGTTCTAACAGGGACTGTTACATTTATCTTAGATCTTCTTTTTTGTCAGTACACCATTTCTTCATTTAGTGACTGCAAACTATTCCAGTGACTTTGTTGCTAAGCAAAATGGTTGCTAAGTTAACAAGGGGAGAGGAGACTAAGGGGAGGGGAGAGGAGAAAGGGAGACTGAAGATTGCAGATTGCTGATGTCTAATTTAGGCAAAGTTTTCTCTTGTAGCTATGCCAGCATTACTATGACTCCAGCATGCACTGTTGTCAGGCATCGAAATTTGGTTATGAGTCTGCATATTGGTCAGAAAATGTTTTTTGTTTTACTACAGTTTATTACTGGTTTATTTACAAACAGTTACTAACTGAGATACTGTAGTTGTTGCTATAAATGCTTTCTCCCCCCACCTTGACTAATGTTGATCAGAGATTTGATTTGAAGTTTTGACCACATTTCTGAAGGGAATTGACTTTCCAAAATGGATTGACAATTTGAACCAAACCATTCAATTAGATGCCTCCAAATTAATCAAGTGATTTGGAAGGGCTTTGCTAAAAATATTCAAAAATCCAGATCAAACTACCGGTAATTGCAGTTTGAATCAGAGCATCAATTGAAAATTTAAACCGAATTGATTATGCAAATTGAATCCAAATCTTTTTTTTTTTACATTACCCAAAAGTATTTATTTCTTCCTTTGGACTATTGCACTTTATCTGCTTTCGTTTAGAAAGCCTACTTGTTTTTGTTATCCTGTGCTATTAAAAAGCAATTAATTCTATATAACATCCAACTTACCAAGACATAGCTGTCTTCAATATATAAGTTCAAGAACAACAAGCAAATGACAAGGACTCCTAGAAAGGATACAGCAGATCGCTTGCGCAAACACCTCATTTTGTCCCAAAGCTTCAATGTACATCTCATATGGAGATACAGCACCTCCTAAAGGAGAAAAACAGAATAAAATTTAGCATCAGAGCAACAAAGATGATTAGGGGATTGGAGATTAAAACATATAAAGAACGGTTGCTGGAACTGGATATGTCTAGTTTAATGAAAAGAAGGACTCAGGGTGACATGATAGCAGTGTTCCAATATCTCAGATATCTCAGGAGCTGCCACAAAGAAGAAGGAGTCAAGCTATTTTCCAAAGCACCTGAGGGCAGGACAAGAAGCAATGGGTGGAAACTAATCAAGGAGAGAAGCTACTTGGAACTAAGGAGAAATTTCCTGACAGTTAGAACAATTAATCAGTGGAACAACTTGCCTCCAGAAGTTGTCAATGCTCCAACACTGGACATTTTAAAGAAGGGATTGGATAACCATTTGTCTGAAATAGTATAAGGTTTCCTGCCTAAGTAGGGGGTTGGACTAGAAGCCCTCTAAGGTCCCTTCCAACTGTCTATTCTATTCTATTCTATTCTATTCTATTCTATTCTATTCTATTC